TCAGGTGATAGGTTATGATACCCCAAAAAAAGTAATTTTTGAATATTTTTTCGTTTTTACTACTCATATATACTTAGCGCGATGACATTTTATGTCTATTTCAATCCTGTAAAAGCGTTTTTAAATCCGTTCAGTCGTTTCGGAGTTATCCATTAGAATGCAAATGTCGGTAATTCCCGACCTTTCAGCATCCTCTTAATCTTCGTCGCTATCATCCTCAATAACAGGAATGATACTATTCTGCTGAAACATTTCACTGAGGATCTCAGCTGGTTTAAAGATCTTTGACAGATATCTAGCATGAGTTAGATATAGTAAACTATTGCAGCAACGTGTGAACAGCAACCTATAGTTCTACTTCCATTTACACAATCATATGCATACTGTAATAATCCAGAAATTCCAACACTATTGTGCAATGTATACATTAAAAAAGTCTAATGTATTAAAATTACAAGTTCCATCTCGTCATTAATCGCAAAATGTACAGATGTTTCTTAAAACATAAACCCAATCCAAAAATGTAGAATTGTTGGTTACTGTTCACACGTTGCTGCAATAGTTTACTATCTAGCTCATGCCAGATATCTGTCAAAGATCTTTAAACCAGTTGAGATCCTTACTGAAATGTTTCAGCAGAATAGTATCATTCCTGTTAATGAGGATAATAGCGACGAAGATTAAGGCAATGAGACAAAAAAGAACTCAATAAACAAGCACCAAGCTTGTCTTTAAAAGTGAATTGTCTTTTTGCTTCTTCTAAAGCTAGACTCTATCTTGAATTTTGGCTAGTTGAAGTTGATTCTAGATGAGTTGTAAATAACAAGAGCAAGGCAATGCTCGTTACACAATACGCGATATATGCTTAAACTTCAAGGCGAGCCTAAAGTCGTCGACTGTTTTATCGACCAAATATGATTATTTTCCATGACAAAATAAACAATTAAAGGCAGATTTAAAAATCCTTCTCCATTATTAAAGTGTAGGCATCAATGTAGTTCCGGCTGGTAAAGGTTATGCTGAGAACGAAAAAAATTTTAGAAATTTAGATCTCCGTTACCTTTTCTTAGTCCAACATGGTGTCTAAAGCTGTCAACATGTGTCAATATTTGCTTCGTATAAAAATTTGGCAGTTTGTTGATACAAAATGATACCAACCGGAACTACAAATTACATGTGCAAACAATGTTGAGTTCATAAAATTAGGCTTAAATGCCTAATAAAAAAGATGTATGTTCTTGAAAATTTGTTACGATGTGTGCGATATCGATGTGCTAGTAAACATGTACACATCACTACACACTATTACATCAATATCGCATGCATACATACTCACAAATCGTCGGTAAAACAGCGACATTTTTAGAGTTTGATTCCAGTTTAGGATCGCCTTAAAACTCCCCTTTTTTTAACTATGATATATCCTTCCGATTGTTTTGAAAATTAAATATGTTGTATTAAATAAGTCAAAGATTTTTTTAATAAAAAATAGTCGTAGTGTCTCAAATACATCCAATAAAAAAAATTCAAAAATGTTTAAAAAATTTTTTCAACTAGTTTTTTTTTAATTTTCATAATTTTGTTGAAACATCGCACCATTGAAACCCTTAACATATATTTTTTTTGCCAAAATTGATTCATCCATTAAAGAGAAAATTTATTTTATTGCTTTTCAATTTTATCCCCATAACTTCCATAAAAAATTTTTTTTGAATATAATCTTTTCCGAAATTCATTCTTACATCACTGCCAACTTATAATAAAAATCTCGACCGAATTCGTGCGGGGGCAGATCACATACTTGTCCTGCTATGCCCTTTCTAAAAATATTTTAATATATTTTTCTGATCGTGGTGTAAACAGTTTTTGATCTTTTTGCGCTCAGTTAATACAGTAATAAATATTTAAATATGAGTGATCAAAGCTCACAAAAGTGTCACTTCCTATTTTTTAACTACAAGTAAAAAATGTCAT